GAGATGGAGATGGGAGATGGAGATGGAGAGATATGGAGATGGAGATTGGAGATGGATGATTAGAGATAGAGATGGAGCATAGGGAGAGAGAGATAGAGAGATAGATGGAGATGGAGATGGAGATGGAAGATGAAGATGAAGATGGAGATTGGAGATGGAGATGAGAGATGGAGATGGAGATGGAAGATGAATAGATGGAGAGAGATATGGAGAGAATATGAGTATGAGATAGATGAGATGATGGAGATGGAGGATGGAGATGGAGATGGAGATGGAGATGGAGATGGAGATGGAGATGGATGATGGAGATGGGATGGAGATGGAGATGGCGATGATGGTGATGGTGATGGAGATGGAGATGGAGATGGAGATGGAGATGGAGATGGAGATGGAGAAAGAGATAGAGAGAAGAAGAGAGATAGAGAGATAGAGAGAGAGAGAGAGAGAGAGAGATAGAGATAGAGAAAGATAGACATAGAGATAGAGCGAGAGATAGAAATAGATAGATAGATAGAGAGATAGAGATAAAATACATAGAGAGAGATAGACATAGAATAGAGATAGAAATTGAGATTGAGATTGAAATAGAAAGAGAGAGAAAGAAATGCGGATGCCTCAACTACTTTTCTAAAATCCATTTTCTTAGCCTTCACAAAAGGTCTGTTGTAAAAAAAAAAAAAAAAAAGAAAAAAAGAAAAAAAAACTTTGAAAGGGGGAATCTGTAAAATCTCCCATTATGAACTTCAAAGAATAAATTTACCTTATAGAATAATTAATTTGCCATCCATTTTCACGACATTATGTCCCTAAATAAAAAACAGGTAATATAAATAAATATATCAGAAGACAAACAATAGATAATATAAATGAATAAATATATAAAAGCACAGATATATACATTAATGGATATATGAGTAACAGAGATAATATGAATTAACAAATTTATAAATTGACAGATAATACAAATTAGTAAATATATGAATAATTAGATGATATAGATAAATAATTATATAAATAAAGATAAATATAGTATTTTATATTAAAAATATATAACAATAATATAATAATATATAATCAAATTAATAAATATAATTAATCAATTAAATATCAAATAAATATAATAATTAAATAATAAAATAAAATTAATTAAGAATAATAAAATATAAATTAATAAATATATGAATAACAGATAATATGAATTATTGAATATAGCTAACAGATGAATAAATAATAAATATATGAATATAGATAATAAAAATAATAAATATATAAATAACAGACAAATAAAAACAAAAAATTAATACAGAGATGAAAATAATAAATATATAAATACACAACTTTCATGTGTGCTTGTTGCTGGCATCGACCTGCTATTCAGTCTAAAAATGACAGCAGAAATGAATATGAGGATGATAATAATAATAAAGACTGATAATGATGTTGGTAATAAAAACTGATAATATATGGTAATGTTGATAATGTAATTAGAACTGATGATGATGATATTGATAATAAAACATGATGATTATGATATTGAAAACTGATTTTGTTTATATTAACAATTGATGATGATAACGATATTGATCAGGATGATGAAAACGAGGATGATTGACGGTGATGATGATGATAATAATAATACATCTAATCTCATATTTCTACAAACCTCATGTATCCTATAAAAAAGCCAGATCATATTTCTACAAACCTAATGTATCCTATAAAAAAAATTAATAATAATAATAATACAAAAGAATTCAACCCCATCATAGGCTAACAACACGCCCCAATCCTAATGATGGAGTTGGGTTAATTTGTGGGGAAAAAAATGTATGTGCAAATTCTCGACGAAAGGGGAGTGACTGCAATATATTCTCTATAATCTGAAGAATATATATCTTCCTTGGAAACACCTTATAAATCTCCTAGAACGGGAAAAGAAATCTGCCCGAGCAATATTTAACACATTGCAAGCACAGTTTGTATAGTTTATATCATTAACAGTATTAATCACTATTGACCTCATCTCTCGCCGTTTCTCATCCTCTTCTACCTTGATATAAACATTATTGATTTGTTTTCCTGTTGTTATCAGTCTTCGCTTAATTTTTGGTAATTATTTTCATTATTTTTGTGGCCAATTCTCTCTGCAGTATCACAAAGAAGTGGTCACTTCTCTATGACTATTTCCACCTCTCGACTTGTTTCACATCCATTTCTTTCCCTCAAGATAATTAGCTTAAGTAGATTAGCTTTTTCCTTTTCTTTTCTTATTTCATTTTCTTTTTCTAAAGACTGTGGCATCAACAGGAAGTAGGCCTACAACTGTGCCATTAATAAGAACTGTTCATCTTGGAAAACTGGAACAAATCTCGTTTAATTGACTTTCATTACGACACGGAAGTCTTGCTCAGGAAAAGTTTCTCGACTGATCTTAACAAAATCCTTCGAATATTTCCTTCCAAGGGATCTTTTCCCAAGAGAATTTCTTGGTTAGGCCACAACAATATTTTTTCTTGGGTAGCGGGCAAGTCTGGTGATAATGAAATGTCGCGAGAGGGAGAGAGGGAGAGAGGAGAGAGGGAGAGGGGAGAGAGAGAGAAGAGAGAGAGGAGAGAGGAGAGGAGAGAGAGAGAGAGAGAGAAGAGGAGGGAGAGAGAGAGAGAGAGAGAGAGAGAGAGAGAGAGAGAGAGAGAGAGAGAGAGAGAGAGAGAGAGAGAGAGAGAGAGAGAGAGAGAGAGAGAGAGAGAGAGAGAGAGAGAGAGAGAGAGAGAGAGAGAGAGAGAGAGAGAGAGAGAGAGAGAGAGAGAGAGAGAGAGAGAGAGAGAGAAAGAAAGAAAGAAAGAAAGAGAGAAAATCCCCAGCTCCAAAATGTCATGTATACCCCCTACCTCCTACCTTCCAAAGATCAGAAGGAATGTATCAGTTCCAACCCCACCTGAAGGAAGTAAAATTCTGCCTTACAAGAAGTTTTCGAGGAGTTGAATGAAAACAGACAAAGAATTCTTTCAGTCAGAATTTGTTATTTTGGAAATCAAAATAAAAAAATATTCACGATAGACAATAGACATGACATGATTCATGAGAGTAAGGTATTTCCGCCAAATATATTTTAGTTTTGCTTTGAGGACGGGAGAAACGATACCATACACAATGAATCATAGACAAATTGATTTGTATTTATTTTTTTTGCTATTTTTTCGCGGACGTCACATATCGGCGGGAATTGGATTAAAAAGATTCGGGATTTTCACTTTTTCTTTTTTCTTCATTTTTTCCTGGGAAAAAAATGTCGGCGGGCCCAATATTCAAGAAAAAAAAATGGTGTGGTCTTAGAGAGGCAAAGAAAAATGCCTTTATGTATCCAATTTCGGTTCGTTTTTCATAATGAACATGTCAAGGTTCTGCCTGCTCTGTTAGAGACACATCGGCACCTTTTGCGTGATGGACACTGAATACTCAGGCAACATTTTCGGTCAAGAATTAACTAGGAAAACAAGTTACAGAAAACAAGTTTTCTCTGAAGAACCTGGATGAAGTTATAAAATGTTTTTGATTTACTTCAAT